TGTTAGTGAAAATGATCTAAATTTATAAGTATACACCTGTGACATAGTACCGGTAGTTTAGGCCTTTTTTTTTTACCAAATTTTATAGAGGAAACGAGAAAAAAAGTTCTATGGAATCTATGCAATATATAGTTCGACTCAACTCACATTTTAAATTATTTAATCAATTTTACACGATGACTGAAGAACGTAATGCATATATTAATCAACGTTTTAGTTTTTCGAATGTAAATTTTCAAAAACTAAAAACATATCAAGCATTATATGGATGATATACGAGTATGTTACTTTATATATAGGCATAGATTAGATAGGAATATTTTCGGCAAGGAGTGAACAAATTCGCGCATTTGTCTCATACTTGCAACATAATACTTATTTTACATCGCCTGTGAAATTGACTGTCTGTCAATAAAAATAAACACAAATATGAGTCCGAAGAACAAGTTCATGACTATTAAACCCGCTTGGACAGTTTATCAATCCCGCAAATGAAATTTCTGGCATGCATTGAACCCGGTCTGTCATCCGGACTTCTGAAAAAAAAAGAAATGCCCTGGGTTCCATGACTGGAATAGCTTCAGCGCAATACCCTGATATTGCGTCCTTATTCGGTATTTTCTTTGGCTCCTCTGAGCATAGCGAGGATGCATAGTTTTTCCCTTCGTGAACGAACGACGATGACGATCGAAAGCATATTTAAATTCAGTGCCAGTTGAGCCTCATCGGGGATCGAGTGAAGTAGTTTGAGACTGTGGTTCAGGAAACAGTTTAATTCAGCTCTTTTGTGAACTTTCGTTTTGATTTTTAAAATAAAAAAGGGGAGCTTCATTGCTCTTCAGCAGCAGACACGTATACACAAAATGAAGCTGGAAATGGTGAGTGTTTCTTTTTGTATTATCGACTATACTTAATTTTGCGTGAGAAATTTAGTTGCCTATCCCCCAGATTTGTTTCATGGCTGTCATTACGCTGACAGTTTCCGGTGTCAAAATTAGACGGAGATCGACGTTATTGCGTAGATTCCAACAGCACGACGAAGGAGTTTTCGGACTACTGGTGATCATTCTGTTTTTCGAAAGCAAACTCAGTTCTTCGTGTTACTGAGACTTTCGAAACTTTATTGGAGTGGCCCGTTTTGATTCTGTATTCAATTTTTCATGAAATTTATATAAGGAGTACATCCGACCGCGACAAGAAGTGGCGTATCGCTCGAGGCCAAGTTCAAATTTCTATAACCTTGGCTTCAAAGAACTTCCGGACCGAGGTTACGACGATGATGACCAGGTAAACATTTAAATTTTATGTACGTTACACAGAGAAAATAGCAGTCATTCATACAATTTTGTTATTTTTTATTAAAAGTTTTGCTGATTTCTTGGAACACCGAAAGATACGACACAGCTGGCGTATGGTTTTACTGTATGAGCATAAATTACTGAGCAGGAGGGATTTTTAATAAGGTCATAAGTCGGTAGTAGATATGCTATACTTTGGACGAGGAAACTTAGACTACTAAAGCTTAAAATTAGGTAAAGAATGTCATCCTTACGTTAAACAAATAAAACATCGATCCTTCGCTCATATGAAAATAATGGGGTTTCAAGAAGGTATTTCACGGTTTCGACTTCTGAATTTTATTTGGAATGTTTGATATGAAGCTCACCCAAAAAAAGCAAAACATTAATCGTTATTATGTGTCCGAAGGAAATGTAAAATGGAAATAGATACACTTATTATGCGAAAATTCACCCAGTACCAAAAGTTTGCCATTATTGTTCTGCTATTTTGGCAATATTAGTGCTATACAATACTGCATTTAGTGCACACAAGAGAAACTTCGGAAAGAAGGAATCAATTCAATTCTATGTGTGTGGATTACTTTGAAAAATATTAAAATTTGATTGCCTTCGAAAGCCGCTCTTTGACCTCACGAGGTTCCGTATTACATCTGGCATGAAAGGGATTTGTCGACACAGATCTTTTAATAATGAATTTGAAAAACTCTGACATATTAGGTAAGAAGAGGTGTAGATTATAAAATTTTACAATAACGTGCATAATACCCTATAAACGATTTAATCTCGAAAAAACCGATGTAATCCAAAAAGTTGTGTGTGTGTTCGCTCCAACACACAGAAAACCATTCCAATTCCCACCAAAAAATTAAAAAAGCCACGTCTGAATTTATAAAGTTCATATGCAGAAAACTGTCTCGAGAACTCAATAAAAACTTTGCGAATAAACTCAAAATGATTGCGATAAATCGATTTTTTCGCCGAACAGGAGAGGTACAGATTCGCATACCGAGTACGAGCTCGAGGCGCGCCGAAACACTGGCGGTACGGCAGTCAACACGACCCGAGTTTCAGCCAAGAATCCAGCAGTCGGGATGACAACGATGATCGTCATTCCAAACAGTATTATTCAAGTGCAGAATTCGGCCATTCTGAGGCTCACGATAGTGGCAAGACTACTGGAGCATATTTTGTGCAGTTGCCTGATGGGCGAACACAGCGAGTGGATTATTATGTCGAGGGAGACTCGGGTTATGTCGCTCGAGTGTCGTATTCTTTGAGTTCTGCTGCTGGAGAAAGATCACGATGACACGATGTAGCAGAAGAGCACTGATTTTTTTAATTCAAAATATTGTTCGAAAGTTTTGTTTTTTAATCTGTATTCGATGAGTTATTCTTGTGAGCCCGATAAAAATCCGCCCAGACGATCGAGGATTCAAAGGTGAGATCGGATTATTATTTGAACTGATTGCAGCAAGAGAAAAATAGTCGGACGATGAGTTTCAATTTGATTTTGAATCATTTGTCATTATATGTGCCTCAGTTCAATCGTTTTATTTAACTGCGTCTCCATATACTCGCAACATAAAATCTTCAAATTGTTCGACTGACAAGCAACGCTTCCGATGCAGAAAAATGCAAAGCGTATGTTTCCTTCGGATGAGTTTTTCAAATTTTTTACATGATAAATGGGAAAATGGTGGACAAGGAAATCCAACGGAATCGTCCATTTGTTTTTAAAAGCGGACCTAGCGATTGACGCAATGGATATAGCATTCAGATTTGTTCGAAATTCATCAACGTTCGTAAGTACATATTGACAACTTTTTCTGACCCAGTTCGCGTTTTGAAAGAAGATGAGCAATATTGGGTTCCGCAGTTTTTTTTATCCCCATGAAATGTTTCCCAAATTTATTCACGCTGATTTTTCAAGCAAGATCAGATATTCAGATGCATCAGAGCATATTATTTAGGAAAATCATTGCAATTGAAAAAATATTATAGGGATCTTCTCTTCCGTAAGTCCGTGATCGCGTAGGTTAACTGGACAATGATACTGAACGTTTTTTTTTTAGCTTTGCCTTTGATTCCAGTTGGTTCATTCTTATCAGTTGAATAAAACATCAATCCAGAAATCGGTTGTCAACACTTCTTGAAAATGTTCTAAATTCAGTCGACGAATACGCTCTCCTCTGTTTCCGGCTTTCGCCTAAAAATATTTTTTCGTGATTTTTTTCTCAAAAAGAATCCAAAAACAAAATGGATGGAATGTGATGCGATGGAATGTGACCTTTCAGCTTACTTCGCAAAATTTTCTCATTATTTTCCACGGCGTTTTTTTTTTTTAACCTTTAACTGGAACAAACGGACATCCGAAGCAATTCAGTTCCTGCATTGATAAATCATGAAACATTGTATTCACGATGAAAATTATGCTATATACACGGTTGAAGGAAGAATTAAATGAAATCATGAATTTGCGTAACTTTTTTTCTACTATAAGAACAGTAAATCATACCCTCTGTAAATCAAATGGAACTCCGGTTAATTTTACAAAACCTGCAGAAGAGAATAGCCGATAATCTAAAAATAAAAAGAAAAATCTGAAGGTAGGCAAGTAATAGCTTTTTAAGGAGTAGCATTTTTTTTACGTCATTTTACGAATGCATGTAAACCTACTGACATATTTAAATTCAATGGTTACGGAACTAGCCTAAGTTAAAGCGTTCCTTTAACCTTCTCTCTTTAGTTGACCGTGATAATGAAACCGATTTTTCTTGCTCGGACATCAGAAACAATGAGGTAAAAACGGGTCACGCAATACTGTACCATGTCAGCGACCCGAAAGAACCCATCAAAAAATATAATTATCCGACCACCAGAAAACCGGATCAACTCGATCGGACGTCATCGTTAAGCCCGTCGTCGCAATAGTACGACCACTATCTGCGTTTGGTTCACATAGACTCAGAAACTTATTTTTAAGAAACCAACATTTTCTAAAAATTTAGCTATACCAACTGCTGAGTGTTCATTTGCAAAGCTTTTCAGCTTCTTAAAAAGCGAGTATTAGAAGTTGTTATGAACAGCGTGGTACTTGAAGCGTGTGCACCTGCGAGACGAAGACCCGAAAAGTTTCGAAATACTGTAATTAGTTCGAAGATTGGAGCAATGCTCGAAATTCAAGTTAGAAATGATGAAGAAATAGTTTCTTCGGCTGCTCTTTCTCAAACTGTGATACTCCTCATCTGACAAGTAAGTAAGTACTGTATAATAATTCGGGACTCTTCTTGTTTTTTGTCAACGTGTTCACGTCAAGAGTCAAAGTTGTTCATTTAAAACGGATATCTGCAATCCTTCGCCTAATATTCAAGCTTCTCAATTAAAGAGTATATTGTACATTGATAACCTCAAATTTCCCAGAAATGCTGATAATTACTCCATCAGAAGCCCGAACTTTTTCCTGAAGACCCCAATGAAAAGGCTTTTTTCAATTTTTTTATATTCCGCAATATAACTCAAATATATTTGGCCTATCTTCATGATCTTGGCGGTAAAAAAAACCACGAGAAAAAGTAAATATATCAAATGAAAATCGCGATATGAAAATTCGCAAAAATATATACCGTGTTTCAAATGGATTTTCTTGCATATTTCTTCAATTTGCTAGCAGGCTGATGAGCATTTTTGAATTTGTTCGGCATGTCCCTCACCACCGATTCCATGAATTGTTTGATGAAGGTATATTACTTCCGATTTTCATCTGGGAAATTTCCCATCTTTTCTGCTCTCTATGAAGTTTCAATATTTTCTATAAAATGGCTACCTCAATAAAATGAGTACAGTATCGTAAGAGATTTCTGACTGACAATGTCGAAATAAGGATCCCATAAGGCCATTATTTGACAATCTGAAAAAATCCTTTGAAAGTCGTCCAAAGAGGAAAGTATAGAATTAAATAAATTCTCCAACTACAGTACCATCATCTAGCAAGTCCCGACGAAACCCAAATTGCCCAACCTTCAAACCGTTTCTCGCCTGTCCCGCGAAGCAGTTTAACGGAAACTGCGACTGTATATACTGTATAATGTTCAAGCCCCCGGGGGCATTACATCCCACAGGATTTTAATCAGCCAGGTATCACGCAATACAGGACCAGGTCCCCGGCCCACAGGTGTGGTGTAAGGCCTCGGTAAGTTGACCCAAGCTGCGGGTCGGCCCGTATATAAAGCTCTGAACCCAGGAACTGGTCACCAAGCACTTCATCGAAGCCAATCAACAGTGGAACTACAAGTTCAAGCCTTACTCTAAATTTCGGAGAAGAAGAAAAAAATACCTCCACAGGGTACAGCAAAATGGTCTCCAAAACCGTGAGTGATCTTGCCATTATCGTGCCTATAGTTTTTTTCGATTATCTAAATGCGTTACCGACTGTTGAGTAGAATCCAGATCAATTAAAATGCTACCTCCTGAAAAATGTGATTCTCAAGGGCTTAATAATCTTGAAAAGAAATTGACTTCCCACCCCTAAAAATTTAGTTCAATCTTGAAAATCCTTTAAGAAACCAAGTTTCTTCGAGGTCTGTTTAGACCTTTATTTTGTAAATAACTGCAGAAATCTTTTCGTAAAAACAATGGATAGCTTCTGTCGTATGAAGAATGTGGTTTTTTGGGAGAGTTTATGCGTATCAATTTTTAAAAAGTATATGAAAGTGTATTCTTCGGACAAGGGCTGAACCTATTTAATTTAAACATCAGTTAGTAAACAAAGCAAGCAAAAATAGGGCTGAACACCTTCATTCAACGCCTTCATTTCTGACGCTTCTAACTAACTATATAAGAAGTCAACGGATGGATTTTAGCTCCATTAAAAATCTGATTTTTTTTTTAATCTGTCACAAGGTCATCGTATTTGCCCTGGTTTGCGTTTTCGCTGCGGCATCCATTGAAGCCAAACGCCAGCGAGTGGTCTACGTTCGCAGAAGTACTCAAGCCCAAGAATCGGGTTCCGGGGAAGCCCAGGGAAGCGGGGAACGGGTTTATGCCCCAGGCCCACAAAGGGTCACCTATCGCCAGCGAGAGGACTCGAACGAATATTCTCGAGGAGGATATGACAACGTGAGTGTTTTAGAAATTGTCTTCTCAGGCATTTCCTGGCAGTTTTCTCTGAATTACCCCAGGGGTTACGTCTACATTTTTCAGGGGCTCCGCGGCCCGTCAAAAAAAAAAACACATAAAAAACATGTATCGGAGAAAAGTGTCAGATAAATTGAGATTTTAGGTCACAAATTGACTTAGGACAATGATTTAACGCAAAAAGAACTTCGCCGATCACACAAAAAAATCCAGAGGCGTTAAATGTAGTTACAAAACATTAAAGGTTTTTTAATTTAAAAATTTTGATAATAAACTACAGGGAAATGGAAAAAGCTTAAGCTCTGGCCGCCCATCAACTGAGACTTTGATGTGTTTGATTCACGAAAAATCGCAATTTTCGCATTCAGCAGTTTTTTTTAATGAAAAAGGACGGCCTTAAATATAATAAAATCAACATATGAACATAATATATAGGCACATATAAAATAAGCTATATGAGCATCATACAAGTTTGGGATGCGTTTTTTGCTAAAAAAAAACATTCATCACATATTGTGCATCAGTGCCCAGCAGGAGGTGGGTCTGGAATGAAAGATAGGGGAACATTTTTTTTTAAATCAAAATGCAAAGAATATAACGACTATATACAGACTTTTTCCATTTGACGCCCCAAAAAACGATTGATTCTACAAATTTTCGAAAGGTTCACCTCACTTTACCACGCTTGATTTAATTTTATGAAATTCTCGGCCGATGAAAAAAGTACCGAGTCCGTCGGTCAAGAAGTTGAAAATTTATTTTTAAATGGATTTAATTCGAGAAATTCTAAAAATTGGTAATCTAAAAAAATTGTCCCTATTTATCTTATTATCAAAAACAGGCCAAGTACCGGTTCGGATACAAGGTGAAAGCTGTCGGCGGCGGATACGGCAAGAAATACGGCGGCGGCAGCAGCGACGAAGGGCGCGGATACGGCGGCGGTGACCGCAGCGCCGAATTCGGCCACTCCGAGTCCCGCGACGGCACCAAAACCACCGGGGCGTACTTCGTCGAGCTTCCCGACGGCCGCCTCCAGCGTGTCGACTACTACGTCGACGGCTATTCCGGCTTCGTCGCCCGAGTGTCGTACAATGGTGAACGTCGAGGCTACGGCGCCAGCGGAGAAAAGTGAACTGATCGAAATCCCGACTGGGATGCACGAATAAGCCACAGCACATGGAAAAACAAAATGAGTCCATTCTTGGCAAAAGTCTAGTCAAATCCTTGCAGCAGCTGTCAAATTATTTTTTTAAACGAAATATCCAGGTTTTGGGATTTATATTCTGCTGTTTAATTTTCTCTCTGGATATCAGATCTAATAAGAACTCTTACAATAATCTTTATTTTTGAATCTTTCACAATTTTTTCAACTTTTCGTTCAAATATGTTTCGTTGAAAAGTTTCCCATAGGTTTCTGTGATTCAAATGCAATCGCCAATTTTTTTTTTAGTCTCTAAAATCTAGAAAATTTTCCTAGTAAGAACAAGCATCTTGAAAAGCTTCCTTCACATCATCTTAGGCGAGTTTCTATAGTCTCACAAATTTTTCTGAAGCAAATAACCAACGCACGAACCTTTCGAAACAAAGTTCCTTCGTAAATTTTCAGAATCGGAAATTTTCTCTTATTCTGCGTCACGTCTATTTGTTTTATTGTCGAAAATTCCTGTTTTGCATGTTTCTCGCTGTTTGTTACCACATTTTGTTTTATTTTTCAATGAAGAAGTGTTGTTGACGATGTGATGTTTATGTCCGCAAATGAATAGTTTTACAATACATGCTTTTTTCCGAAAAAATTGGCTTGACTTTATTCACTGATAGTTACTCTTTTCTGCAGGCTGAAAGTGATTTCACAGGTTTTAATCCATATATTTTCGAGGAATGTATAGCACTTCATTCGAAAAATACTTCACGAGGTTTTAGCTTGCATCTTGGAAATTTGAAAATGATTGATTAATTTAATAATGGATCGCAATTCGGTATTCGTGTCATAAGATGAGTCACGGCCAACGTCTTGTATACTCATTAAGAGTTTAAAGATGTGGAAATTTTCCAAAGAACTGATGATTCTCTAAATGATAATTCAAGGGTTGGTTATTTAGCAACCGTTCTTCTGATCTTAACTGACCCCTTTCCTGTGCAGCACTGATGAACTTGCCACGTGTTATAATGGATTATATGTATTCGCAATGACGGAGAAACAGCTTGTGATGCAACTTTCATCCAGATTTTGTCCAAGATTTTAGGATGATCGGGTTGAGCAAGCTCAAAAAATTACATTATGGTGATACCCATCACATTGACCCAATATTCTTCTAGATGAATATTCGAGAGATCAGGATACGACTAATTCTTTGGAATGTAATGCGTAGAAATCTTAGAAGGAAAAGCGAGTTTAATATGAAATCCACGCAAATTTTCAAAGTGCTGAAAAATAACTTCGCTTTCCTGATTTATATGGATATTTAAGACAAACCCAAAGTGAAGAAAAACACATCAACATTCTTACGGAATACATTACAATACAGCGTGAGACCCCCACATGCAGACACCTCGACATGCGGACAATTCGACATAGGAACACTTATTTTCCAATAAAAATTGATAAAAAGGCCCAACATGAGGACACTGACTCAACATAGGGACATTTTTTGATGCAATTGCAAATAAGTTTCAAGCCAAATTACAAGAATCATATATTTCCAACCCTAAAATTGATGTAAGAAAAGTTCTTGGGCATTTCTCTCACCATTTACCATCCATTCTGATAATTAAAAAAATACCTCCAGCATAGAGGGACTTACTTCTTTCTTTTTTAATTGAATGTTATTTTTACAGAGAATGCCAACATTTATATGCACTGTACAGAGGTATCAGTATTCAATTCTCCAAATGTTTGTGTTGAAATATATTGTTTTAATAAATTTTGATTGGGAGACAGCTTTTATTTTCACAGAATTATGGTGAGTATTTTGTCCATAAAACACCAATTAAAAATTATACAATGTATATGTCTAAGGGAAAATGAAACTCAACTTGGAGACATTTTGGCTTATAGGGATACTCTTGATGCACCAATTACGTCCGCATCTTGGGGCCTCACTGTATATAGTTCAGCATGTAAGAAATACATTAAAATATTGACTAAATGATGAGATCATTATCAAATGTCCCGGTGGATAATCGGAAGAGGCATCAGAAATAAATATAAATAATTAAGCTAAAATGTATCATATGATAAGGCTTCGACTACTGAGAAAAGCGAACCGACACAAGACCTCATGGTTCACCTGGTTGCCTAATCAAATATAGAACAGGTTTCACATGGAACCCTAAATCCCTATTATAAAACAGATCCTTATAGAAGCGGTGGAACGTAACTTCAAATACGTAACGAGGCGTCCACAGTCAGGTTGACGCAATTGACCCGAGACGATATATATTTTTTTCCTCAACCACTTTCCATTGTCCCTTTTTCAAAGGTCAATTAACCTAATTATATGGCTGAATCGCGTGGGTGAGAAAGACACGCATGAAAAATAAAAATTGGGCATATACGTTCTTTAATGAAAACCCGTTATCAATATATCCTCGTACGGAAAAATCACTTCAGAAGTACAAGGACTAATTTATTAGTTGCGCTTTCTTCGTTGGAATCTTGGATGTGACGTGATTTTTTTTAACGCAATTATGTTTTTACAACTATACGGATCAATGTTACATTTGTAATCACGCACGACCCATGCATAGCAAAAATTGTATAATCTTTTTTTTATCATTTTCTTCTGACCACTATAACTGCACTTTATTTACTGTACTACGTGCTGCTAAATACTTAAAATCGTCGAAAAGCAACTGGAAAGCAAATTTCGACGATCTGACAGCCATATTCGGATGGAAAACTGCTCTGATCAAAGCAATTTCGGTATATTTACTGAAGCCGAGTTGAAATTTTTCGTCTAAAAATACCGATCTACGCGTATACGGCTGAAATTCTTGAAGAAAATTTTCAGTAAATGAAAAAGGCTTGCATTTAAGTCGGGTTATAGTAGCATACCATCAGGCAATTCTGAGAAATCTGAATCGCAAACGTAAGGATGAACATCATACAATAAGGTGCTACTGTATATTCTGAAATGTAACCAAACTTTTAAATAATTTCGAATACGTTGCATGTCCAAGCAGTTAATTGGTTTAATTTTGTTCCTACCGATGAAGTATTACCATAGAGAGAAACTCCCAGAGATGTGAAATGGATTGGTTAGAACACAAATTTTGATTTATGAGATCACCGGTCGTTAATTCAGATTTTTTTGGAATACGGAAAGTCATTTCTTTAGAATTCGAATTTTTCTGGCTATGAAAATACACGATCAGAAAAAATTGAATTTTTTTCTACAGAATTTAGCAGAAAATCCGTCACACCAAACGCAAAGATTTTTCTTTCGAAATAAAATCCTTACCATTCGTTCATATTGAAGAAATCTGTGATTTAATTCCGCGTAACCTTTTTTCAAACCATGATGTGATCAGTCAGTATTGAATCAATATTGCTCCTTTCTATGGTTTCGAGAAATTGAATGCATACAAAAAATTAAAAATTCTGATATTGGTCAGCAGAACAGAGCGAGGAAATCACGCAAAATTGAAACGATTATATAGAAATGAATTTTAAAATTTGTCATTCAATTCTTTTCTTTCCTTTGTTTATATAAATGAATGATTGAACAGAAAGGTTTATTTTCCGCTTTTCAGCGTTCACAAGGTTCAATCAACATGTTTATATGAAGCGTCTAATTTGGGCCTTTAAAATTTTGGTTTAATTGAAATCGTATTACTGATTTTTAGTAGATACATTAACCTGAGTTTTCAAAGCTGACAATCATTCATAATGATGTGAAGATACGAAATACAGGAGCACAGATTATCCGTAACATACGGTGTCATTCAGACAAGGCGTCAATCATCCAGTTGAAGGGAAAAGTTTTAACCACCTTTTCCACGAGATTCAAACGAAATTGCAAATAAAATTGACTTGATTGGACTCTCAAGTACTTCGAGCTTTTGGGTAAAATGCTTGGGATTTTTCGAAATTCAGGAACAAAAATTATCTGTAAAATACGGTGTCATTCAGACACAGCTCCAATTACCCAAGTGAAAGGGAATAAGGTTTAACCACATTTTAAACGAGATTTGAATGAAATTGCTAATGAAAATTGACTTGATTGGACTCGCAAGTGCAGCTGCTTCCAGATTTCGAAGAAAATGCTTTGCAGTAGGGATGACGAAACCTCATAATTTCTCAAAGGATTTGATATTTTCATCAATTTCAAGCAAACTTCTTGCATCACAAGGAATGATTCTTTCATGAACTCCGCGAGTCTTGCGTGGTGCCCCAAAAACGGAACTGAAATTAATCCTTTTTTCGCATATCGACGCAAAAAATAATAACGAAGAATAAACCGGTCACTTCGGGTGTCGATTTTGAAAGCGGGTTCAGTTCTCATGATCAAGTTGGACGATAAAACCAGGGGTTAGTTTCCGCCACTGACAAGGGTGACGATAAACCATCAACACAGGGCGATTCGTTGGAGTGACCTCGTTCGTTCCTTATATAAGCCGTGGAACAATCCGACGTCTCCCAGCATTCGGGACTAACAGTGGTTCGAGTCAAGTGCGAACTTCGACGCAATAACAATAAGTAAAACGAGGAAAAACGGTTCAGTGACTGTATATACAACCATGGCAATCCGATCAGTAAGTGTGTCGCAATATTATTCGAGTGCCTCTCGATCTGTGGAAATTAATTGGTGCGTTCCAGTGTAATTACGGTAGAATCAGTGAAGCAGAAAACTCAAGGTTATGCGATGCCTGGTGCAGGTGCACAATCTCTAAACGAAGATTTCGTCTATAATGAAATAACCCGTTCAACGAATTCTTCACTATTCCTGGCAGACTTACCATTACAATGCAAAATTTTGTACTCTTTTCAATAATGTTTTTCGTTCAAAGCTCAGGTATTTTCCCGTCTCCTAAGTAGAAGGTTCAAATTTTTACTATAGTTCCATAAAAAGAGTGAAATACATATTTGAAAACCATGCATAAAATACATACATAAAATAAAATAAATTTTGCTTGCACAATTATCTGAAGACTTTTTTGCTAGAATTTTTTTTAATTATCGCACATTTCTGCACATATATTTAATGAGGGTTTTCTATGTTAGTTAATATGATACACATTGATACAGAAAGCAACGATGAACTTAATTGAGGAAGAAGCAACAGGATAAATTCCTATATGAAAATCAAGTCATAAAAAGTGTTCATCAGCATGATAATTGATGTATTCGAGGGCACAAACAGTAACGCTAATGGAGTAGAAGTGAAAATCTCATTACAATGAATTTTCCAGATAAATTACATGGACAGCGTATTTATTTTGTGTGATCTTCCCGGTGTCCTGAATCCTGGTAAAGACAACTACATGTTGCCCCGATCTTCCTTATGAAAAAAATTAATTGTGAAAATTTTCAATTGAAAAAAATGAATAATTAAATATGGGGTCTGATTATATATGCTTCTGGGATTTTTTTTAAAATACGAAACGATTACAGCGTCTGCTATGATAATTTAGAATTTCCCTTTCGAAAAATGTGTACAATAAAATCTTTCTCGGATAAAACTTGGGTTTGAAGGGATGAACGACCAATTTCGGGGGCAGGGGGGATCTCAATTTCTGGAAGGAATCTGTATAGAACAAATTGTTTGTTCTATAGGTTCTTCTCTGGTTCCTAGAAGTTCGTTGTAACGAGATTTCACGTTATTTTTATCTCAATTAGCGCATGTGAATTGAAATGACTTTTGAATTCATTCTAGCTCTTAGCATTGGCAGTGCTCAGCAGCATTGCAATTGCAAATGCCTTGCCACAACAGTACTACTTCGTTCGAGGAAACGCCGAAAGAAGAGAGGATACCGGCGAAAAATCTGCAGTGAGTTTCTGGTTTTCAATTAAAATAATCAGAATATTTTTGCAGTAGTGCCTGCTACATTATTCGCTCATTACACTATGAAATATTTTGCTTCCTATTTTAAGCAATAAATTTATTGCTTTTCACACTCTGCTCTTCGAATTTCAATTCAAAGGAGGTGAGTGTAGAAGCTCCCGAACCTCGACGAACAGTCTACGCAAGTCGACCACGAGAGCGCTATCAGCAGGCATCTCATTCCGACGAATACGATGATGGGGTAAGATTCTTAAGAAATTCAATTCATGATTTAATCAGTACAATTTAGTGTATTTTATTCACTTGCATAAGGTTCTTCGCTTTTATTAGACTGTAGAGTGTAGACCACATGCAAGCTGGTTATTTTAGGCAGAAATCGACAAGATGGAAAAATCCATATACGAGTATAGGTCGCGGATTCCTTGGAAAATTTTGCGGCCTTCTTGCACGAGGGTCAGGCCTGCCAAAGTATCAATAAATTAAATTTTTTACAGTTCCCAATCTTCTCAAACAACACAGAGTTACTTCTGGGCAGCCAACCAACGAGAACAAGGGATCGATGGAAAATGCCCTTTGTTAGCGCAACTGCCTACACTTAGCGCAAATTTGATTTTTTTTTTTGCATATACCGAATGTTTCATCCGTATACAGTACTTGAAAATTTTCGAAGTAGAAAATTGATACACGAAGTTTAATGCAGATCTTTTCTCAAGCAGCAAATCTAAATTTTATCCACCCAGAAGTTCGTTGTTCGGGACAAACTTTTCACATGCACAAGTCCAGCATGCAGAAAATTTTATGTACAGTTCGTATACTGGTTTCCCAGTTTGGAAATGAACAGCTTTATTTGTTGAAAATACAAGACCGATGAAAGGTGTAAGATGCATTGAGAAGGGGGGGGGAGAGAATTAAGTTGTTGAAGAGTATAGTCTTCGACGTAGAATAATCACCAGGTGATCTTCTATAAATGGATTTTTGTGTCGGGAAAATGATTCACAACTCTACGCATCAATAAACTCCTCGGAGTAAATTAAATGATTTATCGGTATTTTCTTTAAGGAAGCCACAGTATGAGAACTTCGGTAAGTGAGGTACAATCTTTTATTTGTATCAGGAAACTTTGGAGCGTGAGGCACGCATTTTTTAGCGTATTTTTATGGACAAGAATATATGCGGCCTGCTTGACCAATTAGTCAGTGCGAATAATAAAATCGCCAGTATCTTTTTGCGGAAATCATTAAGTAATATGAGTGACGAAAGGACTCATTATGAAAATTAAGACTGTGAATGTGTACTGTGATGGTATTGCGTGAATCTTTTGGAGCTTCCTGGAAAATGAGGATTTCAATGCGTATGCGTGAGAACCGCTAAACATAGATATTCATTTTTCGCTGGCCGTTGATTTAAATCGCGGAAGTGCTTTTCTTTTAACGAAGCTTTGAATGGGCCTTTTATTACGCCTTGCTTAATCGTGAATTCACAAAGATCGTGGCACAAATAAAATTCAGAATGAACATTCATAATTAAAATTAACTGCGAGAGAAGTAACGGATCAATGAATCCCACGAAATGAACGAAATGGAATTCCCTTTCTCGATCGAATGCCCTGGAAAATTTAATGCCAATGAACAAGTCGTTCAGACTTCAGATACATAGTTGGAAATGCTTGAAATAAAATATTGTATTTCGTGGGCAGAGAGAATTTAGGGAACGCAGAGCAGGACCCGATTTCTGGATCTGGGAAAAGTTCCAGGAAAGAAATGAGGAAGTCGTGGTAAATTTCAGGAGAGTGCGTAAAAATATCAACTTCATATTTGCTTTTGAAGATAGTAGTCTTGAAATCAGAAAAAGCGATCAGAAAATTGAATAAATTTATTCGATGAAAAGGATGAGCACTCTTTTTATCCAATAAATTTTTTTTTTAACTCTCGAGTTTTTGTTGCTATGATTGTTAATCTTATTTAATATTCTGTGAATAACCAAAGAAGCGTACCAGCACTGCTTTCTCATTCAAAAAAAATGAGCAGGATTTAACGGTAATTCTGAAAAAAAAAACAGAAAACATTCTTGATGCACGTATGAAAAAAAATCGATGTTCTTAAAAAAAAAAAGTTCGTTAATGGGACCATGGTGACTATATGCGATTTAATGAAGGGGGCTAAATTGAAAACGCGGATATGAGATGCACATTATTTTGAGAAGAATCGGCAAAAAAATCAGTTTTCGTCTTGTACTGAATATGGCGTCTTGATTGGAAGCAGCAATTACAGCACGCAGTAAATATTTACTGCCATTTGAAGTTCAAATAAGCAATTTTATTTATTTTTCATTCTGGAAGGTCCCTCCACTTTTCGGCTGGTAACGGATGCATTTGCACGATGAAAATTATCTTCTGATTTCGAGGACATTGAGAAACTGCGCTTTTTCATTTTTTTTCAATTTTGAGCATCAAAAATTAGTCCTATAGATTATTTGAGTTAAATCGGATGCAAACTCTGAGACTTGGGTCAACCAGCTGAAGCTAATTCTCTTCCCTTTTTTCATTTTCCACAACAACAAAAAACGGCATCAATCAGCACGCAAAATACCAGTTCTCCTACCGAGTGCGAGCCCATGGCGGGAAATCCTACGGCGGCGGCTACAAGAGCGGCAGCGGAGAGAACAATAAGTCCTACGGCGGCGGCCACAGCGGCAGTGCGGAATTCGGTCACTCGGAAACCCGNAAGCAATTTTATTTATTTTTCATTCTGGAAGGTCCCTCCACTTTTCGGCTGGTAACGGATGCATTTGCACGATGAAAATTATCTTCTGATTCCGGGGACATTGAGAAACTGCGTTTTTTCAATTTTTTTCAATTTTGAGAATCAAAGATGAGTCATATAGATTATTTGAGTTAAATCGGATGCAAGCTCTGAGACTTGGGTCAACCAGCTGAAGCTAATTCTCTTCCCTTTTTTCATTTTCCACAACAACAAAAAACGGCATCAATCAGCACGCAAAATACCAGTTCTCCTACCGAGTGCGAGCCCATGGCGGGAAATCCTACGGCGGCGGCTACAAGAGCGGCAGCGGAGAGAACAATAAGTCCTACGGCGGCGGCCACAGCGGCAGTGCGGAATTCGGTCACTCGGAAACCCGTGACGGACAAAAGACCACGGGTGCCTACTTTGTTGAGTTGCCGGATGGCCGCCTGCAACGCGTCGACTACTTCGTCGACGGATACTCCGGATACGTCGCCCGTGTGTCTTACTCTGGCGGCAAGGACGACTCAGGGGAAACCCAGGCCGCCGCCGCCGCCGCCACCGACGCCGAGAAGTAAAGATCTCGATTAGGTTCGCCGTCGGATTTCATAGACAAAGGAAAAAATCGAAGTAGCCAAAATGTTGTTTACTGTTTTAGTACCGGTGCAGAAATCATGAAAAAAAAAAAACATTGAAGAGAAGTGAGAACGGGGAGAGAAAAAAGCCAAACTCCACTGCCTCAGGCAAAATTTTTTAAAGGATTTTGGTACATGTTTGTGTTTTGTACATGATTTGTTCGAAATATCCGTGATCAGAGAGGAAAATCAGCTTTTCACTCCACAATAAGCATAACAATTACAGATAAAAAAAATTTCATTCCAAGATATTCGAGAATGATCAGCAACGAATGAGGGATAGAGTTAATATGCTAAGGAAAATTTTAATTCTATAATTATTAAATTTTTGAAGGAAGCTTTATTATTATGGTAAAATACTAATGTTTTACACCTATTTAAAGCAATTTATAACCAAAGCTGTGTCATATCATCAAAACTTTCAAAAACTAACAAAATTACGAAAATGAGGAACTCCTTGCTTCCTTTCACGAAAAAAACTTTTTTACGCTGACCAACTAACTTTCTTGGCCGAAACGTTAAGAAAAAGTTGCCATTGCAATGCAATAAGTAGAACAAAACAACATCCATCTCAACGTAACAATACTTTTTTCACGACTGATGTTAATCTTGTGCCAATTTGAATTGTGTGCAGCGGTCTCTTGTTTATATCAGCACGGGGAAAACACAGATTTCGTCGTTTGTGTATGCTTTTTTTTATTGTATTTTACGTACAATGCCACGGAAATACCGGAGAGTAATGGCTGCTTCCGGAAATCATGTTGCTCTAGTCGACCCAAAGCTGATGAGAATGAATTATATGTAACTATGAGACGGCTTTTACACACTATAAAAAAATATGATAGCACCTTTAGAGAACATTTTTCGTACTTAATCGACGTACTTGATGGAATACTGGGCACTCCATACGAAGACAAAAAAGACTCGATGTGACGAAAATTATCAATTTTTAAAGCGTATCCGGTTGAACGCAATTATTTATTTTATAGCGTATCTCCGTCTCCTTTATATTTTCAAGTAATTTGGAGACTTAACTGTTCGTGCTTCCCGGAGTTGAATTAAAACCACCCTTTTCTTCCCGAAAAAGGCGCCTTAAGACTTAACTCTGGCCCAAGTTTAGCATCGTAAAAAGAATCTTTAATAAAACTGGAATGAATCCATGTCACCTTCACGTTCATAAAATCCAACAGTGCTGCGCTGTCTTAAAGAAAAAAAATTGATTTCAATTTTTCAAAAAAAAACATTGACATTTCGCTTTGATTGACTGTTTTCCCAGTGCTTACGTTTCCCGCGTTCCCCATCAGAAAATCTCGACTTTTATAGTGCTAGTGTGCTTGTAATTTTTTAAACAGCAGCATTTTTGAAATTCCTGTGAGGGTGGTGCTGCGCCCTCATGACTTTCATGTGCTGGTCCATTATTTATATTTGCGAGAATCTGGAATTTCCCCAGAATAAATTTTGATGAAAATGTCATCGATTGATACATAATCACACAGTTCGAAACCCGAGTAAGACTTCGATCCCGTTCCTCGTGAATGAAAGGGCGAAAANATCAATTTTTAAAGCGTATCCGGTTGAACGCAATTATTTATTTTATAGCGTATCTCCGTCTCCTTTATATTTTCAAGTAATTTGGAGACTTAACTGTTCGTGCTTCCCGGAGTTGAATTAAAACCACCCTTTTCTTCCCGAAAAAGGCGCCTTAAGACTTAACTCTGGCCCAAGTTTAGCATCGTAAAAAGAATCTTTAATAAAACTGGAATGAATCCATGTCACCTTCACGTTCATAAAATCCAACAGTGCTGCGCTGTCTTAAAGAAAAAAAATTGATTTCAATTTTTCAAAAAAAAACATTGACATTTCGCTTTGATTGACTGTTTTCCCAGTGCTTACGTTTCCCGCGTTCCCCATCAGAAAATCTCGACTTTTATAGTGCTAGTGTGCTTGTAATTTTTTAAACAGCAGCATTTTTGAAATTCCTGTGAGGGTGGTGCTGCGCCCTCATGACTTTCATGTGCTGGTCCATTATTTATATTTGCGAGAATCTGGAATTTCCCCAGAATAAATTTTGATGAAAATGTCATCGATTGATACATAATCACACAGTTCGAAACCCGAGTAAGACTTCGATCCCGTTCCTCGTGAATGAAAGGGCGAAAATATTTTGTTAAAATTCAGAAAAAAATGGTGCTACCGTTAAAACAAAGTTTGTATAAGTTTCCTAAAGAATCAGAATGAAATGCACACACTTCATTCATTGACCAAGTGAGATTTTAAAAGGCCTTCTTTGTCTATTTTGTCTCGTGCAGTGAATGTCAACTCGCGCGATTGCAAGTCGACACTTCCCTCGAATTTTCCGAAGTCCTGAATATTCTCCGAAGAATATATTCAACCAAATGAGGAAGGACGTTTCATCGCCGTATTCGCGAATCGAGAAATCCTTCGAGAAACTTGAAAATACTGTGGATGACTCACCCAGATACGCAAGAAGCTGCTGTCAGTATGTGGCGTCGGTGAATGATGGCACCAGCGCATTGTCGACGGCCAGTCGACGAAGGACTGCGTGGACGAGCGACACCTTCCCGCGGAACAGCAGAATTGACGATGCTGACTACGTACGGAAAATCGTTCGTGGCAGCAGCGTCGCCGTGGAGGAGACGCGGACGTCGACCTCGCTTGTCATTCGCTCTTACAAATGGGTTTCTTGACACTGAGGATGACCTGGGCTGACGGTGACCGATGCCCGATCGACGGACTTTCTCACGCAGGTACGGTTCAGGCACATCGACTATAAAGTCCAGATTCCCGACACAATCCCAAAGATCTTTCCACGGCTTTTCGACGACGTTTTCTTTAAAATAATTAAAATCCATTCAAAAGTCAACTGCAGTAATTTCAATACTAGCTTTCTGTCAAAAATTATTCATCTTCACCACTAAGTAGAAGGTAATTGTTCAACCGGGTTTCTTGCAAATTCAATGGGAGTTTCATTTTCAAGTGGCTCATGCCATGGGTCCATTGGATCCCAGACATAGGAATTGAATTGTTAAGCAATCAGAATGCAAGCTTTGAATAAGAACTCAAACTCTTTTCAGAGGAGTTCATTCTCATTGCCCAGATCATCAATTGCTGGCTGTAAATTTAATGCTTATAATGACAGAGTATTGTAAGATTGGTTGGTTAGCTCAGAATATTGAATGAGGTGATTCGAGTTTAAAGGCCATTTAACACCAGATTCTCACTTCTCCTCTCAAAGAGAAATGGAGGCTTTTACACCCAGGTGATTGGACTGGGTCAGGAAGAAATCAGGTGATTTCTTCCTGGCTCATGATTGGCCAATCTCAGGGAAATCGAAGAAGTGATGACCACTTGAGTGAGGCTCAGTGAGTGGCAAAAACGGGATTTTTTGCGAGGCCCACTGGCCTCGGAAATGTAACAAGTTTTCTTGTCCGGTTTGTAGCCGGATGCTGGAGCTGCGCTGCTTCGGTACGCGACAGCTCATGCTCTAAGTCTAAACAATGACTGCCCCAGAAAAAAAATTAAATTTATATACTGCAGTATTTAAATTTTTGCATTTTTGGGTTTGTAGTAGGTGTGAAAAACCTCTCATGGTGAAAAAATCCATTTGAAAATTCAACACATTTTGATAAATCATGCAGTATACTGAGAATACTGTATTTGAAGCAGGATTTTAATTTTTGGAAACAATTTTGATGTTTCTTATTGCTCCTTTTGTGGGTGCTCAGTTGCTCACCTTGACGGTAGTAAAATGGTCCAGGAACGTGTCCGGTGAGCAAATCCATTCCGGCTCCAGAAATGGGACACAACCAATGAAAAAACGTCCCGAATGCCAGAAACAGCCCAATTGTTTCCAATCTTTTCGTATGAACTGAAACACTTGCGGAATCGTGCATTTCCTGCATGTCTATGTCACTTTTTCTCTGCAAAAAAAAATTGAATTCGGAAGCATTCCTTCAAGTTCTTGAAATCAAACCGATTACCACAATAATGTATTCTTACATTCAATGGAAACATCTTCACATGAGAAGACAAGCAGGATATTTTCATTAAAAAATCGCGGAAAAAGGCACATTTGTGATTGATTCTGGGATTTAAAAAATAAAATGAACTCCTCTAAATATGTTTGAATTTTACATACGATTTGATCATACAGTTTTCACTGAGTAAATGATACCGTTAGCGTTTTCAAAGAAAAACAAATGCAGCAGTACCTTGGGTAATGAATGTCTCACATGATTGCAGTTTTTTGAATATCGATTCTTATTTCTATGAAACTTTGCTTCGGGTATTACACACTCTGCTTTGTGTAGTGGATTGCATGAAAAGTGATTTGTCATTGTCACCAAAAGCTCAGAAAACTAAACGGCAGAATACCTAACTGCCAGCATAATTTTCCTGGGCATTGTGTGTTTTTCACATATATTTAATGATACCTTATGTTGAGCACTTATTAATTTATAGATGCGCAACATTGAAGAATTTTCATGAGAGACATTCCAAAGGAATCTGGAACTGATTAAAATGCCATGTATAAGGCATTCTTCAGATGCATGACTTTGCGGGGGTCTGGAACCAATTAGGTAATCCCAAAAACATTTTTAGATTATACCCTGATGAATACATTTTTTCAAAAATGAACTTCTCATTGGAACCTTTTTTTTACCAAGGAACCACCAGCATGAACAGAAAACGTCAAAATCAACTCGTAATTGCAAATTGAAATCTTGAAAGGCTAATTCGCAAATCTAGCCACGCGAAAAACATTTCACTTGAAACTGGTCTCCAGATTGAACTTCGCAAAAAATATTTTCACTTGAAAATGATTTTCAGTCGTTGTCGACTGACTCGAAACGAACGTGACAAAGTACGTAGCTCCGGAGTAACGTCGGATTTTCCAGCGTTGCGACAAATTGCTTCAACGTCGAAAATTCCGCACCAGCAGGTAACTCGATTTTTTTTCTTCGTTTTTGTTCATATATATTTTTTTCTCAGATATTTTCTTCTCTTTTTCTTCCACGAGAAAGCTAGTCGACGAGTCTTGGGTGATCGCTTCACTGACTCCGTCAGTAACTTGCGCTGGCAGTCAATTCGTGCGGAAATTCGAAGGATGATAAAGATCACGAAAACAATTCCATCATTTCGGTAATTTTTTTAAATTATTCTGCTCTCTAGCGTGTCACGACAGTCTAATTAAGCACTAATAATTGCAAGAAAAAGAACGAAAACGGAGAATAATGTACGGTGTAGAATAAAAGTTTCCCAACTCGTATTTTTCGAAACTTGATGGGTTGCCGGGTTCTTGGACAGGACTTCCCTCTGATGAACGCATAATTACATCATTAGAAGTAAATTTGCGACAGTTTACGTGTCTCATGAAAATAGAGTACGAGTTCATCAATATTCCTGCAATTAATGAAGGTCGTTATTGGCTCAGATAGCGCCTAATTATATCTTCACCGTCGGAATTCGGAATACTGGCAATAACTGATGATTCATAAATCACAGCCAACCGCCCCATATATGGAGTAAAACTGAAGAAGACCCGGAACTTGCAAGGAAATACTTGAAAGTATTAAATTTTCTATGAGACTCATTACCGTGATTATTCTCAGCAAAAGTTACGTGTCTTTCTTTACCTCAGGTTCGGAAAAAATATTGAACGTCCTCTTGCAATGCGATAGAAAAATATCCCTAATTTAAGCCATCATTAATTAAATGTACTGTACTACTGTACTGTAATTAAAATTATGACCTCGCAGAATTAAAAGTCTGACTTAGGCATCTACGGAATTAAAGTAAAGTTCCACCGAACATATCAGAACAAAACAAGGAAAATGTGACTTTAATTCAACTTTCACAGGACTTCTCTGAATCTGGACATGAAAAATGGCGGTATATTTATAATGGCGGTATGGCGGTAACTTTGTATAGAGTTTATAAAGATAGGATAACTATTATCTGAGACCACGGGGATCAGTAGATGGAGAAGAATTATTACCTTGTGGGATGTTAAGCTGTAACACATCCTTGATTTTGTAATCCAGAGCACTGCCTCTTTATTACAAGGCACTTTGGAAGGCCATAAAGATACCACTGACGAGTTGGGATTTTTCATTTTTTTCTCCTCTTTTTTTTGCTCACTAACTATTTTTTTTCTTTTTCTGATAGAGCCTGGGTTGCATATGTTCATAAAAAAGAAAACGACACC